TAATCAATATTGCTGAGAGTTAACGATTACGCTTAAGACTAAATCATAAGCATGTACAATCTGGATTAAATGGACCAAAATAGATTTTTTTTGTTTTAATCAAAAAAAATTGCGTGATATTTACCGAGACCCCCCTCTCTCCAACGTAAGATTAGATGAGATTTGACTCGACCTCCTACCCCCCTAAAACATCTCACGTAATTTATGGACGCCCCCTTACTAGTGTACAAAAAATCAGAACTACCGGATTTGACGTATACTCTGAAGTATTAATAATTTTTTATACCCGTTCAAATAAATATTTTTATAGTGCTCTTGGTTGTGGTACGGTGAGCTAAGAACAGGTGCTAATTAGTTGAATGCACGAGTGTTAGCTATTTACCGTAACAATGGTACTAGCAGTTATAAGAGTATTTGTTTCCAATTTAAACGCGTTGAAATACAACTAGTTCAATTGTTAATGTCACTGCGAACAACAGTTATTCGAAATGAATATAATTAGGTATTTAGTTTTAATAGTTGACCAAATCCAAGACGAAAATGTGCTCCGCTAGTCGGGGTTTAACCAGTATTTTCTATAAACGAACAAAAAGAACGAGCAAATAAATGAACGAATGTTTTACGAAGAGCCAGTCGTTACTATCGCTACAAGGAAACGAGGGCCTTTTAGGAGCTTTTATTCTAAATCATTTTCTAAGTAATTAAAATTATGTAAATTTACAATTTTAATAGGCAAACATTTACCCTAAATTAAGTATTAATTTGAAAGTATTTATTATATTAAAGTTTTGATTGAAATAACATTTACTTTTAATTGTAATAAATATAATATAATATAATGAATAAATAAATAAGTAATTTTATAGATTTTGAAGTGCTCTTTCCGAATTTCGACTTTGCCACCTCGTGTTTTTGCCGCTCACGGCGCCATATTGGAAAAATGGCGCCTAAAATCAGTTTTTTGACAATATCTCCTTTCCGAATCATTTAACGATAAAAAAAATGGTGTAACTTATGTACGCGCGTGAGAAGTTATACTTCTTTAGCATCATTAATTTTTTTTTTTAATTGCATGCAAATAATTTATAATTACAATAAAATAATAAAAGGACTGGAAAAGGATAGTTAACACAGTCAATTAAGTTCAGTTTTAATTTGAAAAATTAAATAAATATTCAAAATATTCAATTAAAATCACTACTGAATTTAAGTTATTAGTCCATATGTAATTAGTACTTGTAAGTAACTAAAACACGTAGTGTCTATATAGAAACTAGAATCATATGGATAAATATTATAAATATGAAAACAGTGATCAGAGGCGACGACCAATATGGCGCGTTGAGCGGCAAAAATACGAGGTGGCAAAGTCGAAATTCGGAAAGAGCACTTCAAAATCTATAAAATTACTTATTTATTTATTCATTATATTATATTATATTTATTACAATTAAAAGTAAATGTTATTTCAATCAAAACTTTAATATAATAAATACTTTCAAATTAATACTTAATTTAGGGTAAATGTTTGCCTATTAAAATTGTAAATTTACATAATTTTAATTACTTAGAAAATGATTTAGAATAAAAGCTCCTAAAAGGCCCTCGTTTCCTTGTAGCGATAGTAACGACTGGCTCTTCGTAAAACATTCGTTCATTTATTTGCTCGTTCTTTTTGTTCGTTTATAGAAAATACTGGTTAAACCCCGACTAGCGGAGCACATTTTCGTCTTGGATTTGGTCAACTATTAAAACTAAATACCTAATTATATTCATTTCGAATAACTGTTGTTCGCAGTGACATTAACAATTGAACTAGTTGTATTTCAACGCGTTTAAATTGGAAACAAATACTCTTATAACTGCTAGTACCATTGTTACGGTAAATAGCTAACACTCGTGCATTCAACTAATTAGCACCTGTTCTTAGCTCACCGTACCACAACCAAGAGCACTATAAAAATATTTATTTGAACGGGTATAAAAAATTATTAATACTTCAGAGTATACGTCAAATCCGGTAGTTCTGATTTTTTGTACACTAGTAAGGGGGCGTCCATAAATTACGTGAGATGTTTTAGGGGGGTAGGAGGTCGAGTCAAATCTCATCTAATCTTACGTTGGAGAGAGGGGGGGTCTCGGTAAATATCACGCAATTTTTTTTGATTGAAACAAAAAAAAATCTATTTTGGTCCATTTAATCCAGATTGTACATGCTTATGATTTAGTCTTAAGCGTAATCGTTAACTCTCAGCAATATTGATTACTAGTCTTAGCTATAAGTTATTTACGGGATTGTTACCATGTACCTTGTTTTTAGCCATGTACCTTGTTTTTAGTGACCATGAAAGTTTAAAACAATATATAGTCTTAGCTAGTCGTAAATAAAAGCACGAAGCAATTTTTTTTTCTTTTTACAATAACAATCCAACGCGTTTACGTAAGAAATTCACATTTTGAAAAATCTCACGTGAGATTGGGGGTTGAGGGAGGGGGTTTAATTAAATCTCACGACATCTCACCAGGGGGGGAGGGAGGGACAGAAAATTCAAAAAAACACCTCACGTAATTTATGGACGCCCCTTAACTCGAGCACCAAAAGCAACCAAGAGCACTTTTATTTTTTTGTTTGAACGGGTATGAAACGTAAATATAACATTAATTACTATAGTTTTAGTGACCATGGAAGTATAAAACAGTAAATACAATATATAGGTAATAAAAGTGTTTAACAGATTTATTCCTATTTACCTTTTCGCTTCGTTTTCATACGGTTATGCTTCAGTGTTTAATTTAACAGCAGTATAGACGTAAAATCTGAACTACTGCATTTGAACTTCATAAACTAGCATATACTTTCAAATAGTAATTTTACTGGACTAAATATTTAGTTACGAGTTGCTGAGTTCCAGAAATAAAGTTATATTTAATGTAATTTAATGGATTTTTTCTAAAAGAGAAGCGTTTTCATATTTTACTTATGTTATTATTATGAGGCGCACGATGGCGCGGGTGGTTGGCGCGTTCGGCTGCGATCGTTGAAGTTAAGCAACTTTCGCAGTGGTTGGTCATTGGATGGGTGACCAGGAATCTTCTATCTTGAGTTCCTCCGTGCTTCGGAAGGCACGTTAAGCCGTTGGTCCCGGCTGCATCTGCAGCCGTTAGCACCCGCCAATCCGCACTGGGCCCGCGTGGTGGGTCATGGCCCAATCTCCCTATTCCATTCATAGGGAAGGCCTGTGCCCCAGCAGTGGGGACATTAATAGGCTGATGATGATTATTATGAAGTGATTGAAAATATTTTCATATAAAAATAAAACTTTCAAACAGCAATTTTACTGAACTTTAAATATTTAGTTACGAGTTGCTGAGTTCCAGAAGTAAAGTTATATTTAATGTAATATAATGGGTTTTTTTTTTCTAAAAGAGAAGCGTTTTCAAATTTTACTTATGTTATTATTATGAAGTGATTCAAAATATTTTCATATATAAATAATTTCATTCTGAAAGTGACAATCAAACGTACGATCTCTTTATCGATCCAGAAAGTTTTTTTTTTGTAGTTCGTCTCCTCAACTTTTTTTGTAAATAAGCAGACAAAAAAGAAGTTGATTTCCCTATCTATATTCACAAGATGTAATGTAAGTATAACAGAGAAGATCTACTTATTTTCGCAATTCATCTTATTCTAACTAATCTGTCCTTGTCACATATGTCGTTGGATTAATTAAGAATATCAAGATATTAATATCAATTCGTTGCAAAGCTAACATACAGACACTCTGTTAATTAGCATTGTTAATAATTGCAATTGTCAACGTACACAAAGTAACTTGATGCTGCTATTTGTTACATCACTGCCAACAATTTGGCATGGAATTTGGAGGAGTTGGAACGACCTAATTCGTTAAGCGCACTCACTACGTTTTATGTTGCCCTTCATTTTAATTTCAATTAGCGGTTAGTGGAGTTTAATGGCGCCATTCTTTGCTCTCGTTATTTAGTAGCGAGATAATTATGTGTTCTACCTACTTGCAGTTGTTCTTCAAATGTTTTTTTTTTATCATTCGTTGCTCCTGTTTCCTGTTTTCACTACCATGCTGAATTAAAAAAATACGAAGAACATGCTAGACAACGTAAAGAATTCTTAAACCCAACGGGTATATCGTCATCATCATCAGCATGTCCTTGTCCCCACCGCTAGGGCAGATCGTCCCACCTCACGTCGAGATTGTAAATTTATTTTCATCCGTCCAATAACCGGTTAGCAAAAGATGCCGATATTTCAAGTTGTTCGACCAAACGCCATAACTATTGCAGCTTATAATAAATAATAATTCCGCACAATTCACAACAATTTTTGGTCCCAAACTAAGCAGAGTTTTTACTGTGGAAATTAAACGGTACGATAAACTTAATCCAAAATAAGTAGGCACCTATAAAAACAAACATCATAAATAACAGCAACAACCGGGCTATGAACCCAGAACCTTTGTATCAGTAGGCAGAATCGTTGCTGTCCCACCAATCGTTCGTTACCAATGAGTGTATTAGAAGAGAAAGAGATGTGTCGGGTTCAAAGCAAGTTGCAATCAACTGTCTCTGCATACCCCTCCAAAAATCGTGATCGTAAATACAGGTAACCAGGTAAGGATTATCTCGTTTGATTATAATTCTATACGGCTAGATTCTTCTTCCTAGTCGTGCACTCTTGACAGAGGGGTCGTGGTCATGTCTCGGTCGGTGATAATTTTATACATAACCAGATAGAGCAATCTATATAAACCACGCAAACAAAACGGCTCATGTTACGGGCAATGCATTCATGACTTTAATGTCAGATTGTTTGAAAGCAGTCAATGTGCACGTGTGCAGCGACGAGCGTATCTACCAAATGTAGTCGATATTTTAGGGCCGCTTCCGTGCAGTTAATACGGTATCTAGGCTTGTACAATGTCAAAGGTTAGCTAATTTTTTACTACGAAAGATGCTATCATTACCTCTGATTCCGACATCTTTGTCGCCGCCGTATTTTGCGAAGAGGAAGTACAGCACAAGCAGCACCAATTGAAACACCATCAGAGGTGCATACTTCATGTTGTGGAACTTCAACACCATGGTGGAGAGTCACCGCCTATACAGAAATGATTAAAAGAATATTACATAAAATAATAATCACATCACTATAATATAAAATATTTCATCAAAGAAGTTATATATCAATTAATGAGTTTACAAACTATTTAAATGAATAGCATCATGAGTCCCAATGACTGTCAAAACAATAATATGTGCATGACAATTGACATTGAGATCATAGACCCATGGACAAAGGGAAAACCGTCTCGTCTATAAGCATTTATGGAATCAAAGAAAATGGCTCAGTCCACCTAGCGCTCAGAACATTTGTTCGCTTGGTAAGTTAATCATTGAGCGAGAGAGCATTTGTTCCCTACGTCCAGTCAAACATCGTTACGTACTCGTTCGGTCGCTCTGATGTTTCTATTTATCGGGCGAGCAAATCAGCTCGTTCAGAACCGTTCTGAGATTAAGTGGAAATGCAGCATAATATGAAGATAATGGCTATGTTCTATAGTTAATTTTTGAAAGATTACCGAAACGATTCACACAAATACATTGCGTTACACACAATTAAATTAACATACCTTTTCAACACATTTTCTCAAAAAATGCATTTAAAGAGGTTGTATACATTATTTAAAAGTTCTAAATTACGGGCAATACAACGGAGTGTGCGGTAAAACATTCACGCTCTCAGACATGACGCGCTGCGTATCCTTTATGGGTTTTTTTTTAATTTCGGTCGAACCTCCATGGAAGCACTTTTAATCTATACCATTATCTCACTTTAAATATGTTATTTATTTTTAATTTTCACCACCCGCAAGAGGCGCCATTTGGAAATGCGCGCCATTTGCTTATTAGAAAACAGTTTGCTTCATTACATAAATAAGGTATAGGTACTGTTCTCGCAAATGTGTTGAAAAACGTTACATGACATTCGTGCGGAATGGTATTTACAAACGAGTAGACATAGTCACGAGTTTGTAAATATCAACTTACTGTACTAATATAACTATTTATTTATTATTTAATTAAGTCAATGCATGACGGATTGCGATATTATTGTGATATTTACATATTTTCACGGATCAAATATCTGCAGCAAATTCAGTAGGTTTTCGTGAAAAACGGTATAAGTATTTTATCTTCAAAGTACGACAAACGCGACATCAACGTTATAGTACCGTAACTACGCTATATGCAATACGATCCGTACCCCTAGCACTAATCAATATCGAATTCAAATAATTAGCAAATGCAAAATGACAATGTCAAATTTTGTATGGAACCTCGAACAACAGCGCCATAACCGACGTAACGAGAACTAAAAATCAGTACACATTTGACAATGGCATTTCGCACTCTTAAACTATTTGAATTCGATATTGGTTCATGCTAGGGGTACAATACCCTTAGCCCGAACCAATATCGAATTCTTATAGTTTGCGAGTTCGAAATGTCATTGTCAAATTTTGTATGGCAACTTGAAGGGCAGCGCCAAAACGGACGTAACGAGAACTAACATATTTGACAGTGACATTTTGGACTCGGATCCAAACGACGCATTGGTAGAGACGCAAGTCTATGGATTCCCCGTACGTCGAGACGAAGAAGAAGTTATCGCACACTATTTGAATTCGATAATGATTCGTGCTAAGGGTACAGTCCTCTATGTAATCGGGTATCAAAACTAACAAGTAACGTAATGATATGATTGTTATAGTAATTAATGGTTACGGGTACACTATTTTTCGTTACTTTTATAGCTCTACAAGCATGCAACCACGCACGGTCATAACCACGACTTCTAATGACATCTTGGAAAAACCTGTATTACTATTTCGTTAATAAACACGGTTCTTTGATATCTAAGCGTAAATAATTAACAATTATCCATACAAAAAAAAATATTTCCATGAAGCTCTAACTAAAATATGAAGAGATAACAAAGCAAAATTTAATAAGTTCAAGATCATCTTTTAACGGTAAAATACTACAGCTTGTAAGTCGACATAAACTTATTCTATACATTCTATGTATATGTATGCCCGAACGAACGAAATCTGCATTTTATGACGTTATAATAATTTTTAATCATCATCATCATTTCAGCCGAAAGACGTCCACTATTGGACATAGGCCTCCCCCATGGATTTCCACAACGATCGGTCCCATGCTGCCCGCATCCAGCGGCTTCCCGCGACCTTTACCAGATCGTCGGTCCACCTTGTGGGGGGCCTGCCAACACTGCGTTTCCCGGTACGCGGTCGCCACTCGAGGACCTTTCCGCCCCAACGGCCATCGGTCCTGCGAGCATTGTGCCCTGCCCATTGCCACTTAAGGTTTGCAATTCTGTGGGCTATGTCGGTGACTAAATTTTTAATACCTACCATCTTTTTCTAAATAAGATTAGATATCTATTGCTAATGGATTCCCGCGAACCATAATCATCATGGACCTATTAATAATAATAATAAATATTTATTAATACCTATTAATAATAATAAATATTAATAAATAAATATTTCCAACACACACCAATTAGCCTAGCCACAAAGTAAGCACTGTAAGGCTTGAGTTATGGGATACTAGGGTAACGGATAGAATACATATACTGTACATATATAACTATATTTATATAGAAATTCATATTAAACATCCATGACTGGAATCCAATTGCTCATGCAATTCATCAGACTAACATCTGCCCCCACCGGGATTGATGAACCGGGTGAACAGATGAACCCCTCTCGAGTCGTTGACACCATGAAACCCGGCGTACAAACCACTCAGCCACGGTGGTGATCATTAATTTGACGTCATTAATGTCCCCACTGTTTGGGGCATAGGCCACCTCTATGGATTAAGTAGGTACAATGGGCCAGTTTGGTGGGTAATAATGACTGAATCTGATGGTTACCTATCCTATGACCGGACATTGCGTTTCCACAGCACTATGCGAGTTACGTTCATCCGGCATTTTTATCGTATGTCGTGAATTCAGTTTATTGATGAATACTTAAATAAGTTGTTGACTTATTATTAATGTTTTTGTGAAATATATTTAGTGTGATGTCAATATTAAAGTTATGTAAATTTATGTAATTAATTAAGTTTAAATAAAATAATTTTTAAGTTTGTGTAAATAAATATATGAAACATTTTAGTACTACAAGGTAATATTAGATATAGGCAAAAAACCCAAGAAAAATATACACTTTATGCAATGGAAATAAGAAAGAGTTCATCACTAGCGCAAGCAACCATGTGGAATTCTTTCAAACAAATTGTTATTATAATCAAACAACTTACAATAAATTCGGATGGTTTTCCATTGCAATGCTTACTCGGTACGATGAGCAGTAATTACATTTCAAATACCGTTCAGAAATTTTCTGTTCATTATTCAAAGTAACTGCCCCCTAATTAGATAGTAGCGTGAATAATTTCGATTCCAGCAATTTTGAAATCGAATGAAAATGATGCCTACTTTAGTCTCCGTCGTTCTGAAACAGAGCGCATATTTCCTAAAAGCTTTTATAACTTAAACACGCACACACCTATTTATTTTATTTTTCAAAACAATTAATAACGTACAGTCGCGGTCTTTGATTTGGGATCTGACTAAATTTGAAAATCGTACAACAAAAGGTCATTATAAGAACTAATAATTTTAACTAAAGACGTTGTGCTATTACAGCACATTAAACATTATTTATATTGTGTTAAAGTGAACTGCTCAGTTTCCGCGCCAACCGTTCGTACCCGAGAAACGAACACACTTCCCGTTTTTGTGTCTATCAATCGACTTACACCGTTCTTTCTGGTTATATTCAATGAGTATCGCTTATAAAAAATAAAAGTATTTTTTACTATAATTTCATCTAAGTACTTTATTAGTAGATAATTTTTTAATTTATTTCTGAAAAACTGGATACGTATTTAAATAAAACATCTGATTTGATAACATTCTCTCGGATTCTCAATAAATTTCCTAGTGTGACACTGAAGTAATCTACATAACGATAAAATTAAAAAAAAAACGACTAAGTGCATGTCGGACTCGCGCACCGAGGGTTGCGCTTTACCTGTAGGTATATAATAATTCTTAAAAAAAATATATGTAACGTAACTAAAAATTTACGGTTTTCTCAATTTTTCCTTTATCTATGCTATAGGACGTTAATTCCTACCAAACAAGATTCTGAGTTTACGGGAAGTACCCTGTAGGTTTTGATTCCCTTCGGAGTTTCGAAAATTTGCGGAAATTTGCTTCATAAGCAGCTGTATCTTTTGATTGCGTTGGCTTAGAAGTTCGATTTTTTCACAGCTCTATGCGACAGTAGATCTGAGTTTTTGGTATAAATTTCAGAAAAAGGGTCTAGCCGACGGACGGACAGACAGACAACAAGTGATCCTATAAGGGTTCCGTTTTTTCCTTTCGAGGTACGGTAACCTAAAAACGATATTATACGCTTAGCAAGGCGGTTAATATTTAGAAATACTATTAAATTCAAAAATATTTGTAATTATGAAGTTTCAATGCTACATTGTTCTGGAGATTTCGACCTTATTACAATGCGAATGTTCAAACCACATTTCGAGAAAATGGGTCCCAAATCATAGCACTTGACTGTACATACCGGAGGAATGTAGGTATTCTCTTTTTTCATCAAAGTTCAAATATATCAAATTAGTTCAACAAGTAAAATTTACCCAACTGGCTCTCAGTTTTATTTAAAGTAACTACTTCGCATTTTCTAAATCCTGATTTTGCTTGGTATGTACATAGGATTCATAATCTATCAAAAGAATTAGGTAGTACCAAGATGTGTTTTCGCCTGTATAGGTATTTTTGAAACCTAATTATATATCACTATAGTTTTTTTATAGGACAAGATGAACTTGCTTTGTTCTCAGTCTAATAAACTAAAGCGCTAATCATTAATATAGGGACATGAAGCGCGCAATCAGGATCGCGTGGGCGCCTCTCAGCAATAGGTTTCATAATTTCAATCAATTAGAAATATATACATTTTTAGGGTTCCGCA